AGTAGCATATTTTTCTATCAAAAAAGCTAGGCAAGCGTATTTCTTGTCATATCTCAGTGACAGATACTAATGGCATGACTGGATTGAGCTTATTCATTTATTTATTTGATAGGGCACAGTGATATAATACAGTAATGATACTGGTTTGATTTTTTAACAGTGAACCCTTCAGCATTCATTTCTAGTCAGAAAAGCAGTAAATTTTGTCTCTGAGCTGAAGAAGAAAATGTTTGTGCTGTTTAACGTGAGAGGAAATAAACTCTCTATTTCAGACACAAGCCCTCCGAACGATCTCAGATTTCCTCAAGTCTTTGCAACATGCAAGACTTCCAAATCATTGTACAGCTTTTCTTCACCTATAGACTTCTTTGATTGTGATATGGGTATCTGCTAAAAATGTTTTTGGTAGGCTAAACTGATCGTCTGAAATTTTGCAAATTATTATTCTAAGAAATAAAGAATGGTATCGCGTTTGCAGAAGAAATGGGAGGTTCGTTGTTACAAATTTTCAATAACCTTATTATTCAAGGAACAACAATCACAATTTCAATATGTACCCGACCTTGCAAGTAGAAAATGAATTAGCGTTATGTCGTGCTAGCGAATAGCGCTTTCAGCGCTCGTCTGTTTTTTGCTATGATGAAAAACTTGCGATGAAGATAATTATTGGTATTTCCTTTTTTGCGTCTGAACTTTTTCCTGTTAGTGCATTCAAGTGCTCATTTCGTATTCTCGCATGCCAGCTTTGCAACTAGCAAAATCGTGTACACTTCTGCATTCAAAGCACAATTTTTGAATGCAAAAAGGGTGCAAGATATTTGTTTTTCTTCGCATTTTCAACATTCATTTACAAATATTTCATTTTAAACATACTCTAACTTGCTGTGTATTGCACAAAAATCAATGTGAAGCATTTATTAAGTACCTGGAGTAAGAGTAATGTGTTTGTGTGTCGCGTGAGGAAAGATGATATCCCTCTATGAAATGAGACTTGTGCGGGTGGTAATTGCATACAAAGTTGCAAGGTTTTTGTCATAACTTTTTCTGGTTTATACCGCTGATCTCCCGTCAATCTTAAGAACATCTGAGCATATAAAAAGTCAAATGTATGCGGATGATATTAGATTAAAGGAGCTATAGCGCGAAAAATCGTGATGAAGTTTGATCGGCAATAAAGCATTCCCTGGAAAGAATGATAGAGTGGGCATCATTTTCTGGCATCCCAGTGAATTCAAATAAATGTTTTGTAATGCATTTAGGTGATAACGAGAATCCTGTTTATGAGATTAGTGGGACGGTGTTGAAGAACTGTTTCACTGCTAAGGACTTGGGAGTTCTAATAGATAATGACTTGAAGTTCTCGCATCACATTGACAACGTAGTCAATATTTTTTCGATCCTCCGATCTGTTCATACTGACAACCCATTGATATTGAAGCGCTTATATAAATCGTACGTTTTGCCGCACCTCGAATATGTTCTGTGATATGGAATCCTTTTTCAAAAAAAGACATTTTGAGGTTAGAAAAAGTTCAACAAACATTCACTCGCATTTTGTTTCTGAGATGTCGCAAAAAATTAGCTTTTGACGAAATGCCTAAATACGAAGAACGCCTCAAGTCCTTGGCAATGAAAAGTCTGGAATTTAGACGAACTTATCTAGATCTTATTTTCACTTTTCGCCTCCTTCGTAAAGAAATTAGGCTTAGCGCAAGTAAGTATTGGATTTTCAGACCTAGTAATAGGGTGGGTTTCACATTCATTACCCACGTATTTATAGGAAACACTTTCTACGAACATTTAATACTCTTTTTTTTTACAGAACACCTAGATGGCTTAGCAGGCTTCCACCTTCGACGTTATCAGCTGTCGGATCAGCTGCTTTTAAACGTAGAATAGCGCAAGTTGACCTATTACAAGTTAAGGGTTTTCATAACTACTGAAACTTTTTTCTCTTTCCGGTTTTTTTAGGAATGTCGCGTCCCTTTTTTTTTTGTCGTCCTCCAACACGACACATAATTCCACATAGTTTTTTGTTTGTTTGTAAAATGTAGTGGCACTAACATTTGATCCATCATTATTTACGTTTTAGTTTTTTCTTTTGTTCCTGTCACTAACCCCGATTTTCTGGCCGACCACACACAGCTAGGTTCGTCGTCCTGAAATTAACTTGAGGGTTCTTTTGGAGAACATGACGTGCAATGACCACATGTACTCCATGTCTGAGGAAAATTGCTTCATACATACATACATACATACATACATACATACATACATACATACATAAATATATGCGTCTGGCCATTCCCCTGCTACTGTACTAGGTGTGTGGTCGATTGGTTATCTGCTATGTTTTCTGCTCTTTTTTGGCGCACTTCTAAGTGCATTTAAATAAAATAAATAAAAATGACTGATGGTAATTGGAAACACTTTGCTTTTTGAATTATAATCGTTGGACGAAAAAACAAAAAAATATACTACTTTTAATTTCACCCCTTCACATTGAAATTTCGCTTGAATGAAGAAAGTGGGGAAATTTCACATTAACAGAAAACCTAAGGTAGAGTAGAGGACAATATGTCGCTAATAGGCTCCAGGTGCGAACTCCTGGCCCGAGCTTGCAATGCGTAGGAGAGCGCACTTTATGGCAAATTTTTGCAAAGGACCCTATCTTTCGGCAACATTCCTCATTACGATGTACTTTTTTGATTGTCTTCCTTAATAGAACCATAGCAAATCTTGAAGCCTGATTTTACATTCGCCAGTTGAGGTTACGACCGCCCATCCTCCTATGAAGGCCACTTAATTTGACAGTTGAAGTCCTGTCAGCTGTCACGGTGACTTTCCGCGCTTCATAAGATAAGGATGAGTCGCATGGTCAGTTGCCGTACATAGTGTGTAAAACCAAAGAAAAATTGCGTAACCTGCTCGTGAGCTTACGGGACGCGTAAGGTGACATAAGACTACGGAGAATAGTGCGCAAAAATACACTTTCGTGGGGCCGAGAATGGAGAGAATTGATTATTAGTTGAGTAAAACCACAGGAAAAGAGAAAAAATTATTCGCTTTCATTCAAATGATACTTCAATTTTTGAGAAACTGCGCGTATGATTTCGTCGCTATATAATCTTAAATAACTGCAATTTTATGATTTACGCTAAAATATAGTAATTTCGTTTCTTGGTTCTACGTCCCCGTCTGCTTCGCATATTCTTTTATAACAATCGACATCGAGCAAGTAGCTGATATCAAAGATGGCCAGACCATGTAGCAAAATGTTGCCGCTGGCTGATCTCGATTCATTCCGTGCCAGTTGACTAGCGACAGTTCTATCCATTTGAACAAGCCTGTCTAGATGGCGATAATTTTCTTTCGTTGAAAACGCGCATGTCTACAAAGCAATTCGCTAAGTTTGATGGCAGCACTGATGCCGATCTGTCGACCGTGAGGTCTTTGAGCCCTCCCCAGGCTACTTGTAATAACGGAGGTTTTACTACTGGTGATAGTCTTTTCCACCGTTGAGATCAGTTCACTTCAAGTAATGTGGACGACGTTGTTACTCATTTGATTTTGTCTACTTCTAGTTACAGGCTACATTTGATGACTTAGCGTATCCGTTCATGTTCAAGTCCACTATATATCAGTTTTTGAATAGTGGCAAACAGAATTTCTCAGACTTGTTTTGAGGGCCTGACGCCACTTTTGGAGAAAAAAATCCATGTTCAACATCTATTACGCCACACTGCTGACATACGCTTCTTACATTAACAATAAAACAAGTTCAGTCTCGACAGTTAACTGAATATCATTAATTTTATCATTATCAAATTAATATCCATCATCTTTTCTTACTTTCTAAAGCTTTAATTTCTTTCAAGACCAATTTTGTTTGAATTGCATGTACATAACTGTATAACAGTGCCATAGTGGATTTGTGATAGACATGCTGTAAGTAGAGTGGTGAGTGATATACCTTGCGTGAATGATGTAAGACCAAACATCAAGAAAGGTTTATTAAGAAGTTTTTGAAAACAATGATAGTAGTTTCAGCTTTTTCCAGACCTCTGCTCGTACCACAATGTGACCTAGAACCTTATACAGTAGAATTGTGGTACTTCAGTAAAATCAAGTCCAGTTTCGAAATAATTCAACACTGTCGAAGTGGCTTTCCGAAAATGCAAAGACGAAGTTTCCATTGGCTCTTCCAAAGTTCCTTACCTGAATCCCAAACATGAATAACCCTCAAAAAACGAAACTCATAAACGTAACCTTAGTTGTGTTTTTTCGGCTACAAAAATAACATCCCCTTTGCTTTTTGTCCCAGAAACGATATCCAGCTTGCTTATAAGCCACCTGTGCCGAGCCCTAATATTACCTTCAACACTAATACACTTGCCGTAACCGAAACATAAGGCCTAACAAACGAACCTTTCATTCACTTTGAGGACAATATCCTTCCACTTTGAGAAATTGTCGAAATTTTCTAAAATGCCAGCGGAAGTTCGACTCAGGGAAAATGGACTGTGTAGATGAAAAACGCGCTAGTTTACCTAGCGGAAACAATAAAAAAGGAATTGCGCCAATGTGTTGACTATTCTCAATAGTGTTAACGTCACAACCACTCAGCTCCCTGCTTGTCTTTGTTGTTTGGATTGGTAATTATCGTTAACTCATTTTTCGATGTAGTCCATCCTCCATCCATTGGCAGTTACTCCTTAGGAAGCAGAAAGGTCACTGACGAGCAGGCGATGTAAAATGCACGGCTCAGTCTACGGAAAAAAGGTCTTGTAACTCTAATCCTCTCACATCCTTCATGCCGTTTCTATTCCACCTACGGGCGTAAAAATAAGGTATCTAGGCATCGGAGAAACACTTGCACTTCGACGCGATTTCCTTTGCTAATTAGGCACGATGCTACTTCTTCATCATTGTTCGCTCATTCTTTGTCGAGCTTTTCTTAAAATCATTTCACAGCAGCTAATTGGCTGACTCTTTCTAGAAATTCCCGCTACGTCTGCTATTCGCTCTTTCTTCGCTTTCGCTCTACTACTGTGTTATGTGAATGATTTTGTCTCTACAGACTCCTATGTACAAATTTGTTCTAATCGCTTCCATAGTGTTGATTACGGGAGGAATGCTCACAACAGCCTTCAGTTTATTTAGTCCACTGTGGCAGGTGATTGCTCGCAATATAGAGGTGATATTTCCGTTTCTTAAGTTTTCTGTAGGTAGCCGAGCGACCAAAATATGCCGAAATACATTACCATGGTTTATGGTGGGACTGTATCATATCTGATGGGACACTTATACCTCTTAGCGATCCAACTCCACATACCAGTCGCAACGGTGAGTACTCTTTGATACTATTTTTCGGAAACTGATAATTTTGAGCTACGTGGTAGGCCGCTAAACTTAGGTGTGCTATAGCAACTGCGCTTCTAAATGCTTGTGAACTAGTAATAATTTCCAGATCGTCACCGCTCTGTTTTGCGGTTTCTTATATTTTGATCTCTAGCGTTCTAGTTCTTTTACCGTTTGAGTGTCGTAACCCCATACTATGGTGCAAATAACCGATAAGAAAGTCATTTTCATTCAGCAGTTTAGCACATCTGCACAAATAATTACGTTACATCAATACTACATTAATAAATACGTTTTTACGTTTTTACGAGATTTGAAATCCTAGAGTGAAGTTTTAATGTTTAATTTGTAATGCCAATTGATAAATCAAGATTCTGGTCGATGCTATCAACAAAATACATCGTTTTCTTTTATAAGTCATCTGACTGGCTCCCCAATGTCAACAAATTGTATGTTGTTTGTAAAGTGTTCACAAATTCGCAGCATGACCAATACGTTACGCATATGGCAGTTGAAGAAATTTGAGCGGACAGGAGGGGAGATGACAAAATTCCTTCTAAGTGATGGTGTGTATCTTTAGACACGCGTCTTGTAGTGCTTTTGTGGCTTTCGTAGAGCTTACATGACCCGAAAGATTTTTCAAGAGCTGAGGTATTTTTTACCTCAAAACTTGCCTATATCTGCAAATCAGCAGCGTACCAAGGTTTCCCCCCCCCCTCCCCCCTCCCCTTCCCGAGCGGAAATCCTGGGTACGCCACTGCTGCAAATGGAAAAGAATTACTGCGCGATTTTTGTGCTTGCTACAAAAGGTCTTTTATGCTAACTGAGTACTTATTCAGATGAAAAGTGCGCAAACAAGTTCGATCCCGCTGTTCAACATTTGATTAGAAATGCGCTGGAATCGAGAGATCCTACGTTAAAAGAATTACTCTTCCATCGATTTCTTCGTGAGTCTGTTCTCATCAGTGACAACAAATTTTTATTCAAGTAATTTAATCGTTTAGCCCATCACAAAGCTGTTATATTCTTCTCCGTATTCACTTTTGTGTTCGGTACGATCGGTTTGATAACTGGAGCGTGTTCACCGTGCTTTCCACCAAACTCATTGCTATATGTCGTTTCCATATTCATGACAAGTTAGTTTGCTATTTGATAACTGCACATCAATGGGTGACATGTTTTATGGATGGAAGTTTCTGCAATTTCACTTTTGTTGAAATTTTGCAGCGAAAGGCGTTAACGCGCAAGAATCATTCAGAAGCTTAAAAACATTTCATCGAAGCGTGCAGTGGCTGAAGCAATCACAACTTCAAAGAGTGAAATAAAAACGGAAAAAGTGGCAAATTTGCTTGCATGCTTGAACCTGAAAAGGAGTTACCGTAATCAGGCACACAAGAGAATTAAAGGATTCTGTAGCTTTTTCTAGAAGCGTCAAATTAACCTAAGAGAGAACGAGAAACTTCTGCAGGGTGAAAGTGGGGAGGCCGACATCTTTGACTAAGTCGTCTTCGCATGTCTAGAGTGCACATTCTAAATTCAAGCAAACCTGTATTCTGCAATCAAAATCTTTTTCTAGCAAAAAGATCGGCTCAATGCGTTGCCTGGCTTCCTGTTTGGAATTTTGATTGCGATTAGCTTCAAGAGCTATCATGCCCCAATACAGCAGTGACGAGTGTGGCTATCACTTAGTTTGTGTTATAGTTTGATCTAACCCGCTTGAGGCCGAAGTCAAAAAGGCACGCTTACGCAACTGTCTGTGTCACATCTTAATGACAGTTATTAATCATGAGGTGTTAGACACCAATGCCTGCTCCTTCTCAAACTCTTCGATCTATTCTTGGCAAAATGCCAGCGCTGTGCGCCCGGTTCAGCAAAGCGCACGCGCACGTGCTTACGTAATGCTTCAGCATGCACTCGGGTTGAAGCAGACTGTATCACTCTATGTGTCGTTTGATATCGATTTAATTTGATGGCGTAACTCTTCGATCTTTTTAGTTTTACTGCTCTGTAGACAGTTTCCAGTCAAGCATAACCAACCCAGAAGGACCAAAAATAGTAGTTCACCAAGCCGAAAAGATGATGCGATGACCCTCGTTGAAGTCTGTACAGATGTTCCCTTCTATGCATCGTCTCGTACATACAGAGATAATCTCACCACCATATAGATTTACCGCGCGCTGCTAAAGGGTTAGGGCAAGATCAACTGCTCTACGCTACCTTATACCTTTTCTTCACAGTCAGATTGATTCTCCAATTTGACTGAAGAAGCTGAAGTCTACTTTATAGTCGACACTCGCTACATGTTGGAATCCATGCTGAATAGGCAGAGAAATCTTACACGAGCCCAACAGAACACAACATTTGAACAATCAATAGAAAACGAGAAGGAACAGACGTCAAATTGGGCGCTGCTGCTCCATAGTCACTTGCTTGGCTAGTGCCAGCAAGTAATGGCCCGACGGCCAACTTGGCCACCGTGATTGTCTCCGAACATCGTAAGAGAAGTTCAGTTCTTGGGGAGGCATTGTATCGCAAGTTGCGACAATCGCTTTCTTTTCAATAAAACACAACCCTAACTAAGACTGCTCTTTGCTTCACAATTGAGTGAATCGGTCCAGAAACAAGTGTAGCTTAACCTGATATCATGCTTGTTATCATCTCACTGATGGACTACTTCAGGCGCATGTTCTGTGCTATCCGACGTGATCTTCGTTTATGGCACTAGTAAGAAAGAAGAGCTCAAAGAAGACGTAGAGGTGCATGAAGAGGACATGGTCCAGGTTAGTTCCAGCATAGCTGTTGGAAGTGGATGCCTTCGCACAGTTAATTTCAGAATCGCCTAGGACTTGCATGTTACCTTCACATGCTTGCTTCATGTCTCTTCATCATGGCTCTGCTTACTGCTGTCGCCTCGTCATACTTATTAATATCATCGGGCAAGGGAAGGGAAGGATGCTGTCAAAGTAAAAAGGATTACATACAGCAACACAGGTCAGACAACTTTCGTTTTTTTGTTTTTTCATTCATTGATACACGGAAGGAAAATCGTTGAATGAAATGAGAAAATATGCGGATTTTGTACAGAAATGACCAAATAATTCTTAGAGAAATAGATTGAGAGGTATACATTTAATAGGCCGACAATGTCCCTTATGCAACAAGTAGTTGCTAATAATTTTATGCTAACGAAGTTTGAAATGATGAGCCTTTAAGGAAGCTAGAAATCGATAGCAAAAAGTAGTCTAAGCTTTCTAGACCGCTAGGGTACCATCCCATAAGTGACGACCCTTACGCAAATATATGCTATCGCCTGTTGTCTGAAACGCGTTGGCTATAAATCAGGTACTTAACTTGAATGTATCGTGTGAACCATACCACACAGATGTAAAGGCTATCGTAAAGTGTGTAGAGAGTTATAGACAATATACGTAAGTACATAGCATCGTACACTGTTGTGTACCTTGCTAAAACTTTGAAGTTTGCCCCTAGCATTTAGTTGATTCGTTGACCGCACAGACTGGAGATCACTGCGGAACACGCACTGCGAGATAAAGCGCTTGCCCCAGTATATATTCGCCATTGTAAACTCGTCCCTCGCGACAATTCAGCCGCGCCGCAAGTGGTCTTCAGCGTTTGAGCAGTCCGTGCTGTCAACGAGTCGACGATAGAAGCTAAACCTTCCATTGAACGTTTTGTGATTTTTTGTCGGTGTGCTTGTATAGTCAAATCTACACAAATAATAGGTGCCGTTTTGCTCCAAAACACTTCTTGCCTGTAAATGACCGCGTACAACAGAGATGAAGTGTACACAGAAGTGGAGCAAAGTTGAAAATACTCTGTTTGTGCATCATCGCCGACTCCCCTGCAGACCCACACTCGTTTTCATTTGACTTAGCGTTTGCAGTTGCACAATTTTTGTTTTGCAATGACAGGAGATTGACGTCATGGATCTTTTGGCTTCGTGCGGTTTTTGAGGCGTTCTGTCTTTTTTTTTGTTTCCTTGTTGATGAAGATGATGGTTTGTTTTCCCATTAATTCGTGCAGATGTGAAAAAAGTGCGATCACACAAAGTGATTGGTCAAATAGTAAATATAGGAGGGTGCCCAACAAAAAGTGCACGTTGTTTGATGGTAACTTTTCAACCTCGTTTGCGAAATGCAAGTCCGCACCATGGGGGATGGCTTCAACTTTGAATGCGGTACAAAATGAGTTACGGTTAGTGCTATATTACGGTACTATAAAATTTTGGTAGAAACTTTAAGCACAATGGTTCCATTGCCTGTGTGCCATCAAAAACCGAAGGCAACAAATTTTTGTAGTTAAACCTCAATCTCGCTGAATTTAATCATGTACAAGTTTGTAAACCATTCAAATTTTCTAAGAAAGGACTGTCACGGTGTACGTGGCTCAACTTTTGAAATGAATATTGCGGTAACATGCAGTGGCCATCTGGAATCAGCAACTTTAATTCAAAATTTTTTTACTTTTTCGGGATTTATCTAAACAAGGTTTGGCATCAGTGACACGACTTTCCCTTCTAATCCTTACTGCCATCTATAATAATTAGGAGTGATCGATGTTCCATTTTGTACCGTAAACTTATATTGACCTCTGCTCAGGGCTCGGCACGAGGTGGCTTACAAGCAAGCTGGGTATCGTTTTTGGGATGAAAAGCAAAGGGGGTTTCGTTTTTGTGACCGAAGACACACGCAAAATTGGCGATTTGGCGACGTTTTTTTTTAGTCGACGTTTCGTTTTTTGGAGGATTTTTAGGGAAAATGGTGGGGGTCAAAGGGGACTTCGTAAAAATACTCAAAAGTCAAGGGGGACTTCGTTTTTCGCATTTTCATCTACCCACCTCGTGCCGAGCCCTACCTCTGCTCAATAACATGACATGTTATTCAAAGATTGGTGAGTTTTGCGACAAGAGAGTTATGTACAAACAAATAATGTGCATATTTTCAAGACACCATATACATGTACTAAATGTGTGAACTTTGTACTTGTGCATGTAACATGGTTCCATACATGTCGTATTCTTATTACATATAATTGCGTGACACCAGAAATCCTGCGTAGAGCTTGCTGTATGAGTATGTTAAGTATACAATAAATGTCATATATCTGTGTTCAGTGATAATCCCTAGTGCACTCGTAGTATCCACCCAAAAGTTTGAACACATTGACGACCGCTTGACACACATGGTGTGTCAAGCAATGACTACCGCGTGGGACCGCTTGACACACCATGTGTGTCAAGGCTTGAATTTTGTTATAATTATGACTATCTTGGTTTGAACTCACTGCACGAGCCTTCTTTTGCACTGAATCTAAGGAATGACCTTAACCTTTCTTGTCAGCTTTCAAATCTATTCTAGGTGAACTGTAGATGGCAGTATGTGTAATTATAGTTGAAAAATTGGACTGGTCCGTGAAAGACCTTAATCCCAGAGGACAGACAACTAAAAATCTGCATGGTCGTCAATGTGTTAATCAAAGACATTGTGGTGACGAAACTCTACATAACATATGTTATTATTATTACCAACCTATTTTAGGTACAATCACGATGGGCGCACTGTGTTTGCGTGCAGTAGGAAATCGTGCAGACCCATCGTTGTGATAGAGGACGAAAGTTTGTAATGCGGGTACAAAGGCGGATTCGATCTCTAGTTTCTGCAATTTAACACGTTCTATGTGATTAATCTTGTCTGTGAAGGTGCTGTCACTTTTTTCTCCACATGATTCAACACCGGATACTACCGGTATTCCATTCGTGATCTGGAGAGAAGATTATATCAACTCAGTGTGCCATAATATTCTAGTCAGGAGTTAGCAATGAGCATTTTGAAAGGAATGATTATTCATGCGATTTATAAGCAAAGAGACGAAAGATGCTCTTTTGACAATCAATCAGCATCGACTTGACTAGCGTTAATAGCCAGTGTATGTCTTGTGAACAAGTTTTTGCCTTTTTCTGTTAAGTAGGAATCTCTCTTTTCGTACTTTCATCGAATGCAATAATATATGTGGACAACATCGAATCTGCGAGTCAATCTCTACCCTTTCATGCTTATATGTTGCTTTGTTTCTTATTGTACAGAACTGCATAAAAGTATCCACGTCGTCCCTTGACACAAGAATTAAATCTGAAAAGATAGACAGTTCTTAAGAATACAGAACCTTACGGAGAGCAAATTTGGTAATAAGTGAGGGTCACAGAGAACTAAATTGTGTGCCGGTCACTCTGTTGAGCTTCATCTTCCCAATTATAAGGTTGGCACATTAGTAATGCAACTTTTTAAATAACTTTTGTCTTTTTTGACATGACACATTTATTTTTGGTGTCATGAAGAATGTAAGCTACACATGCAGCCTTTCTTGCCAAATTCCGTCAACGCATGTGAGGGTTACGTTAAGTTTGAGTATAAAGGGAAAATTTTCAGATTGCTTCTGATTCTGCTGAGACTTGGTCCATTAGAGGGGGAGGGGAGGGTATATGACACCCAAATTACAAAAATATTCATTTATCATAAAAGAGCCTCCTTCGTAAAGTTAAGGTGTGGATTTGAACCATAACAACAAATGAGTATGAAGTTCGTATTTAGCATGTCGAGTTGCCCCACAGTACAAGGTTTTGGAAGATTTTGAAGTTGCAGCTTAGTCACTGACAGATGCCCCTTCAAATTGACGCATTCGATTTGTTCAACTTCTTGAGAGCGCCAGATCTCATTTTTCTCCCAACATCTTTCTTAGTAATTGAGTAAGTCGAGCTCGCCCAGAGAGCTTGCTACAATTCAGTTTGATATGTTTAATTCAGGTTGTGTACGGCTTCACTTCTGCTCAACCGTAAATACTCAAATTTCAACAGTTTTTGGTATGCTTCTAATTTTTCTAACACGCCATCAAAAAACGAACGGCTTGCGAAGGCTTCTAGCTTACATCACATTCTATATAATCAAGAAATGAGGGTGCTACGTTCAGAGAGTGAAAATTCATGAGAAAAAGTGCAAAACTTATGTGCCAACCTAATATCTTATAGTGCTTGTTTTCAAAGTGTTTGTAAGCACTTTTCCAGCTATAAATTTGGAAGAATATGTGAGTGACTGCTCATTAGATTTCCGCGTTTTGTCAGCTTCGCGTGCTAGGAAAGATGAAAATTTGGCAGAGAGAGCGTAACATACCATAATTTCCCAAGACGCATATTTTTCGATTTTTCAAGCGAGCCGCTCAGCTGCCTCGTTGTGTTTCGGAAAACGAAACTTATGCCGCACGATACTCTTAGGCAATACGCAGCACTATATAGGGTCCTTTGATCGCGAAATGTTTTGGAGTGTTCAGAATGGACGGATTCAAGAAAAAACGGGTGTGTCGTACTCGTAAAACTGTAATTGTCGTACTCTGAGACTCTTCATGAACTTTTTCAGGTTTTGGATGTTTAGTTCTGACAGTTAACTGGAAAGAAAAGGTTGCAAGCAATTATTACTCACTAACTAACATTGTCGACCGATTCTCGGATGATGTTTCACAAAATGCAATATTTTGAAACGACATAGATCTGAAATGACTAACTCAGACACTGGGAGCAGCCGAGCCGCGGACCTTTTCTGGCTGGAATTTCGCAACGTCCGCGGCCTGGCCGGAGATGGGCCGCGGCTCTGCCGGAAAACAGCCTCGGCTCGTCCGCTTTTGGGCCGCGGCTCAGCCGGAGCTGGTTGTCGGGCCGTCTAGTCCATTCTAGTTTGGATACAGTAGAATTGTTTCTTTATTTACTGACATATGGAATATACATAGTAAAAAAACAAAAATTGAGGCCACCGATATAGCGGCTTCGGGAACCAGTCCGACTTCGACATTGGACAACACAAGATGCTATTCAAGGTTGTACAACAAATTGATCTTGTTCCCGCATTGGAGACTGCTCAGACACTGGGAGCGGCCGAGCCGCGGACCTTTTCCGGCTGGAATTTCGCAGCGTCCGCGGCCCGGCCGGAGATGGGCCGCGGCTCGGCCGGAAAACAGCCTCGGCTCGTCCGCTTTTGGGCCGCGGCTCAACCGGAGCTGGTTGTCGGGCCGTCTTCATTCTTGCTCGGATACAGTAGAACTGTTTTTTTATTCACTGGCACACAAAATATACACAGTAAAAAAGACAAAAATTGAAGTTACCGATATAGCGGCTTCGGAAACCAAGTCCGACTTCAACATTGGACAACACGAGTTGCTATCCAAGGTTGATCTTGTTCTTGCTTTGGAAACTAGAAAGACAATGAAGGCTATGGACATTGAGGCCAGCCTGACCATGCGTCGTACATCACGCAAGTATTCTTTATGCTGGTACTGGGAGCGGCCGAGCCGCGGACCTTATCTGACGTGGGCCGCGGCTCGGCCGGAGTTTCATTGTAGAGATTTTGGTCCGCGGCTCAGCCGTTGCAATGCTCCACCCCCATCATTGAGCCGCGGGAGCCGGTAAGCCATATTCAGTCCGTGGCTCGGCCGGTGCAATGATACTACATGAATTAAGGTCCGCGGCTCGGCCGCACTCCGGCCACGCCCACAAATTAAGGCCGCGGACGGGCCGGAAAGGCCCTTTGAGGACGGAAGGAAAGTCTGAAAAACATTTGTCGCACTGCTGATAAGAGGCCATCATACGCGGATTTGGTTTGTGGCTCTGGAGAATGAGGTAAGTTTTGCTTTGAAGATGCCATTACCTTTTTCAACTTTGCTCGATAGTTTTGCGATATTAGCCGACTAAGATCTGCCAGGAAGCTCTGGCTGACACTAGTGTTAACCAGACGACGGTCTCTAATGCGGTGCGAGCAGTTGTCAAAAAAAGAACAACCTCCCAATCATTCTCCACCGATCAAGGAATGACGAGTTTTGACGCACAAGCACCGCCTTCTCCCGAGCAGGACCATTCCACATCATCAGCGCCGTCAAAAAGTTGCATAAAGATACGGAAGTTAGCACATTTTGGCTGGCATATTACTGCCGCAAGGGCTCCAAAGCTCTGAATGTGATGGCTGCCGTTGACGCCCACGGACAATTTGCGTAAATAAGTGCGAACTTTCTGGGATCTGTCCACGATGCCAGCGTCTTCGCCGCTTCGCAATTAAACATGGTTACGAAAAATTTGTAAATCCGCATGACTACAACTTTCCTGGAGACTTCGGATTCGCTGCAGCGTCGAATTCACTTTCAGTATCTAAAATTATATTTGCTATCCTAAACGGCATGAGCAGATCTCACAACATGATGATGTCTGCGTCCGAGGAGACTTAGGCGCAGAGTCTCAGTTATTGTCAACCGCCAGAAGATCACCGGACATTCGTGCCTACCTAGTCACCTGTGGGTAAATTTTCTAATAGTGTAATGTATGTTTTCTGTTTTTGTTGTTGTTATAAAGTGTATGTATACTTGTCAAACTACTGCAACTGCTGAGCAATTTGCTTCCATACTAAAAACTGCTACATAAATTTCACAGGACAAAATGGACAACAACAACAACAACCAAAATGATTCACTGAAATGATAATAAGCGTATAAGTCAAAAATCTACTGATTCTACAAACGCAGCAAGGTTAGAATCCTCATCAATTGGATTCCAAGGGTATGATAAGAAACAAAAAGCATTCAAAATTGTTAGATTAAAGAAAAGATACGCAATAAAACATGGATGGAAATAGATTACGCACAGCGGACAAATGAAGGGACCGTAAGTTAAATGAGAAAACGAAGAAAAATGCCTAAGTTAAGTAGCGTAGTAAAATCTGTTTTCTTGCAGCAAATTGCACATGAAAACCAAATCCTCCCAGCTGAATTCCGAGAGGCTATGCAAAAATTATGCAACATGATGACATGTCAAAATAGGACCTCCATCCCAAATGACTGTCGACCTCTACCTTATAGCTAATCTTTTCCCACGTTCAAACAGGCAAGAATTCAAAAACTTAAAGGCAGTGTCTCACCAAAATTGAGGTCGCGCGGATTTTCACATATTCTATTATATGGACCTCTAAATAGGCCATTGCAACAAATCCCACTCAATTTGACCCCCTCCACGCTAAGAAAAATTCGCTCAAAGTTGTACGCGGAGAGCGACTTAGTACGCGCGGACGACTTCTTCGGTCTCCCCCCTTACGCGTTTGAACATGTCCCTCCACTTGGCATCCATGTCCCCTGTGTTGCTGCCACTGTGCCTGAGGCTGAAGTTGGGGTACAACTCGTCCACGTTGCTTCCGCGAGGCCCGCCTCTAGAAAACGGGGTTTTTGGGAACTTTGTGCGATTTTAGGCCCATACAGTGCTAGACAGCGTCCGACAGGCTTGCAAAATGCAAAAAACTCGGCAACTAAATTCTGGTGAGACACTGTCTTCAAGCACATTTATTTTCTAACAGGTTAAAGACGTGAACCATTAAAATCGGATTATGCCGAAGAACTCAGCCTGTGACAGTAAAAATCAATGAACTTTTTGGTAGAAAAGAACCCTTGTCGTGACTAAAAGCTCTCAAAACAAAACTCAACTAGTAGATTGTTACTTATTTATTGAAAGTATAAGCTAAGTGATTCCAATATGCATGTGTAAAGTATTAGGTCGTTTCATAAGTTTGTAAAGATTCTATCTTGGTGGCCTTCTACTGATGAAGCAATTTTTACAGCAAAGTATACCTATACCGTTCGAAAGAGCTACCTTGCTTCACAAGAGCTGTTGTTCATTTTCGGAACAAACATATATCTCCTTGTTTTACGGCTTTTCAAAGTCTTTTGAGAGCCAAAAATTCGCGGTTTCGGCAACCTTTCCGTACATGGTCCGTTCTTCCAAAATGTTATCCTCATATGTATGCGGAAGGCTAGTAGCAAGCAATACTGGTATACTGACACAAGTTTGCTGCACAATACGCTAAGAACTGTATAAACAAGGTTGCAGTAGTTGTTATCTTTGACTGCTACCGCTTTAAATTTGCGCGTTGTCAGCGACAGAATGTGTCGGGTCTTGATGGATAGATGGATTCTTCTAATTGGTGTAAATGTAAGCTCTGGCCAACATTTTACGCTTTCCCATTAGAGAATTTTGGAATGAAACATTCTCTAAATTGTATCAAACGCAAA